TGGTATACCTTTACTTAACAGAATTCAATGACTTCCAAAGTCCTTACCATAAGCTAAATCAATGCAAAACTTAATTTCTTCTGACCACTTTTATTAATTTATTAACTGAAAAAAAATGTATTGCCTACCTATCCTCCAACATACATAATTTATTTGTTTATGTAGAACTGATGTATTGTAAGAAGAAAACTAAAACAAAAGCAAATATATATTGATATATGAATGTGTTTTTAATATCTGATGGTTAAAGATAACCACGTTATCTCTTATCGTGTGATACTCAGAATGTTAAATGTATTGTGCAGAACTATTTTAGTGTGTTCTCTAGAGGAAGGTAGTCTGATAATCTTTTTTTTTTTTTATCAGTACCGGGGATCGAACTCACAACTGCCTGCTTGCAAGGCAGGCATTTATGCCGCTGAGCTAAATCCCCAGCCCCTGATAATCTGTTTTACAACCATACATCATGCCAATCAATTGTGTATGGCAAATGTCTACTATATTTTAACATATTGGGATTTTTTTAGACCTTTATGTCCTTGCAATCTTTTGTTTGATTGAGTTAAGCTTTTTGAGACCACGTTTCACTATGTAGATCAGGTTAGCCTTGAACTCAATATGTAGCTCAGATTAGACTTCAATTTGAAGGCAACTTCCTGCCTTGACCTCCAAAGTCCTAGGATTATATCAGTCTTCCATTTGTCTGAAAATGTCTGCCCCAAAGAAAAACATTCTTAGCTTCACATTATCACTTGATTTCTATCAAATATCAGCACTTCAGTTATCCCTTTGCTGTGCACTTGAGTCTTTCAGAAGACACTGCATTTACCAACTTCTAAACTACTTAGCAGTATTTCACTAGGTTCTCTGTTGCTTCCTTTATTGCTATACAAGGTGTTTTGGAATGTATTGAAGAGGAGAGATTTATTACCTGTTTTTTTGCCTAACCGATTTCTATTTATAAAAATTTTATTTAAAGAAGGAAAAAGAGAAAAAGGGTAGAAATAATACCTAATTAAAAAAAAAAAGAAATGTAAGAAACCACTAGTTGATAAATTACATATTGTCTTCTTAGAAATAGTTGTTCAGGATATAAAAATAAATCATACAAGATAACATTCAAACATCAAGACTACAAACAGTTGTGTTCAATGATCCACCAAAAACTTAGTAACAAGGTTATCAATTCTACACACTTAAACACACATGCAGTTATTTCCTTTAGAGAACTTTCTTTTCCTCTCTTTTTTCCAAGAGCAATTACACATTTTGGGTTTTATTACTCCTACAATTCTTATTACTTTTTACACTAGAAACACAATGTGATATTTATAAATATGATTCTCATTTATTTCACTAATGAGGATAGTCTCAAGTTGTCTCCATTTATCTATGAAGGCCTCAAAATCATTCTTTTTTAACACTCCATTGTATAAAAATACTACATCTTTTCCTTCCACTCTGCGGATGACGGGCATCTTGGTTGTTTCCTAGATTTAGCTATGACTAATTGTGCTGCTATGAACATGAGTGCACATATATCACTGTGATATGACCTTTTCAGTTTTTCTGGGAAAATACCCAGGAGGGGAATAGCAGGACTGAATGGAACTTCCAATCCTAGTCTTCTGAGAATTTTCCATACTGATTTCCATGGTGATTGCACCAGTCTACACTCCCACCAAAAGTGGAGCAGTGTCCCTTTTTCCTCCTGAAGCCTGTCCAACACTTGTTCTCAGTTGATTTCCTGATGGCAACTATTGTTTCCAGACTGAGATGAAATCTCAGTGCTGTTTTAATTTGCATTTCTCAAATGAACAGTGATGGTGAACATTTCTTCATTTATTTGCCATTTGTATATCTTCAACTGAGAACTGTGTGTTCATCTCAGATGCCCATTTTTGGAGAGGGTCTTTGAATTTGGGGGGGGGGCTTGATGTTTTTCAATTCTTTATACATTCTGGATATAAGTCCTTTGTCTGAGGGATTGCTGGCTAAAATTCTTTCCCATTCTGTGGGTTTACTTTAAACTCTATTGGGGGTTTCTTTTGCAGTATAGAAACTTTTCAATAATATGAGATCCCAGTTGTTGATTCTTTGGAGTGTTTCCCTTGCAATTTGCATTATGTTCATGAATTTCCTGCCTACCCCTATGTCTCCAAGCCTTCTACCTACCTTGTCTTCCAGTAGATTTAGTGTTTCTCTTTTAATACTTAGGTCTTTGATCCATTTAGACTTTAGTTTTGTGCATGGTGATAGGCACATATCTAGTTTCAGTCTTCAGCATGTGGAGAGGCAGTTTTTCGAACCCTATTTATTAAACAGGCTATCCTTCTTCCAGTGAACATGATTAGCCCCCTTGTCAAATGGGGCTAAACTCAGGTTGCTGAGTGTCTTTGTAGTTGTGCGTGCATCTTCTGGTCTATTCCATTGATCCTCAGGTCTATTTCTTTGCCAGTACCATGCTGATTTTTGTCACTGTGTTTTTGTAGTATAATTTCAAGTCAGGAACTGAGATGCCTCCTGCTTTGCTTTTGTTGCCTAGAATTGCCTACCCAATTCTAGGTTTCTTCTCAATTTTAGGTTTCTTTCTGAATTTTAGGAGTGTCTTCTCCAGATCTGGATGCTATTTTAATAGTATTCTGATTGGGATTGCATTAAACCTGCATAACAGTTTTGGGACTATGGCCATTTTCACAATGTTGGTTCTTCCTAGCCAAGATCGAGGAATATTCTTCCATTTTCTAATATCCTCCTCAGTCTCCTTTTTCAGTGTAGCATAATTTTCAGCATATAGGTCTTTTAACATTCTTAGTTAGGTTGATTCCCTAATTACTTCCTTTATTTAGATGCTATTTATTGTGAAGAGTGATATTTACATAATTTCTCTCTCAGTGAAATTTTGTTTGTGTATAGAATGCTGTTGATTTTTGAGCATTGACTTTATTTCCAGCTACATTGCTGAATTTGTTTATTACCTCTTGTAGTCCTTTAATGGAGTTTTGGGTCTTCTGTATAGAATATACTGTGATCCGCAAGTAGTGGTAATTTCACTTTTTCCTTTCCTATTTTAATTCCTTTAATATCTCTCTCTCTCTTGTCTGATTGCCCTGGCTAGTGTTTCCAGAACTATATTGAATAGGAGTGGTGATAGTGGACATCCTTGTCTTGTTCCTGGTTTTAAAGTGAAAGCTTTTCAATTTTAGTTCATTTACTATAACTTTGGCTGTTGGGTTGTTATAGATGGCCTTTATAAGATTGAGGTTGACACCATGTATTAGGAGTTTCTGAAGGATTTTTATCATTAACATGTGTTGGACTTGATCGATGGCTTTTTGTGCATCTATTGAGATGACCACATGGTTTTTGTTTTTGGCTCTGCTATTACATTTGTTGTATTACATTTATTGATTTGCATATGTTAAACCATCCCTGCATTCCTGGAATGAATCCTACTTGGTCGTGACGTATGATCTTCTTGAAGATTTGGTGCAGTCTATTTGCCAGTATTTTATTGAGAATCTTTGCATCAATGTTCAATAGTGAGAATGGCCCAAATCCTCCTTTTTGGTTGGGTCTTTCTGTGCTTTTAGCATGAGCGTAACACCTGCCTGCAAGAATGTTTTAGGGAGGATTGCTTCCTATTCAATTTCATTAAAGAGATTAAGGAGTATTGGCATCAAATCTTCTCTAAATTTCTTGGAGAATTCAATGGTGAATACTGCAGGACCTGGGCTATTCTTTCTTTCTTTTTTTTTGTTTTTTTTTTTTGTCTTTTCCCTTTTCTAGTGGTACGGGGGATTGAATCCATGACTGCCTACTTTCAAGGCCGGCGCTTATGTCACTGAGCTAAAATCCCCAGCCCCTGACTTGGGGCTTCTCTTGTTGGTAAGTTTTTAATTATGATTTCAACTTCAATAGTTCATATTGAGTTATTCAAAATTGCTATATCTTCTTGGTTGAGCTTTGGTAGTTCATTTGTTTCTAGAAATTTATCAATTACCTCTGTGTTTTCCACTTTATGTGAGTAGAGATTTTCAAAGTAGGTATTCATGATCTTTGGGATTTCCATGGAATCTGTAGTTATTCCCCCTTTTTAGTCCTTATTGAATTTGGGTTTTTTTCTTTTTCTTTTTTAAGTTTAGCTAGATGTTTATCAATTTTGTAAATCCTCAAAAAAAAAAACCCAGTTTTTTGATTCATTAATTATTTGTATTATTTTTTTTTTTTAGTTTCAATTGCATTGATTTTTGCTCTAATCTTTACAATTCTTCTCTTCTATGTGTTTTGGATTTAACTAGCTCTTCATTTTCTAGAAGCTTGCGATGAAACATTAGGTTGTTTAACTGTGGGCTTTTTATTTTTTTAATTTAAAAAATTTTTATTTTAAAGGTTAAATTAAACACAATACAACAGAACAAACTAGGACATAAGAAAGCAATGTAAGAGATATAAATTTCAAAGCTAGATGACCTGAGATCTTCACTGTCTGTCGTATTGTCTATTGTTTTCTTCCAAATAGTTCCCATGTCTTCACACACAGAGAATTCATACAAAACAGCATAGCATAAGACTGATCTGAACAGAATGAGGAAGGCATTTTAGGTCTTCAAAAGCAGCCAATAAGGAAATCACTAATGGCTATCATAGTGTCTCTCATTCTCTTCAAAATAACTTTCTATACTTTCGTGTATGTGAAAGTTCAACACAACAAAACAGGCAGGGGGGAGGAGTCGCTTTGTTTCTCTGTACCCCAGGTCCCAGCATGGTGTAGGTCCCAGCATGGTGTGGGTCCCAGTAAATGCCAGAGGTTCCTATCTGGTCTGTGGTAGCCTGCCACACTCACAGCTGCTCACCAGGAGGGGGAGGGGTTGCTTAGTTTCCTGGTGCTCGAGATCCCAGCATGGTGAGGCTCCCAGTAAATGCCAGTGGCTACTGCCCTGGGTCCCAGCACCCTGCCACTCTCACTGTTGCTCACTCAGGTGGGGGGAGTTGGTTCAAGCTGTTTCTTTCTAATGAATTGACCATTTCACTGCCCAAGTGCTGAAATTGCCAACAGACCATAGGAGACATCTCTTTAGGCTCCTGCTGGAAACCAACAGCATCAAGAAATTCCCAGCCTTGATTCAGGGCCAGTAGGTTGTTTATTTGTGCTCATTCAGTTTTCTTGATATGACAATTTATTGCTATATATTTCCCTCTTCAGACTACTTTCATTGCATCCCACAGGTTACAGTATGTTGTTTCCACATTTTCATTGAATTATACGTATTGCTTTATTTCTTGCTTAATTTCATCTGTAGCCCACTGGTTGTTCAAAAGGTTGTTATTTAGTTTCCATGTATTTATGCAGGTTTTGACATTTATTTTGCCACTAATTTCCAGTTTCAGTGTCCTATGGTCAGAAATTATGCACAGGATAACTTCAACACCTTTGCAGTTACTTAAGAATGTTTTATGTGGCAACATAGGGTCTACTTGGGAGAATGTCCCATGCGCAGCTGAGAAGAGTGTGTATTCTGATGTAGCTGGTGGAACACTCTGTAAACATCTACTAAGTCCAATTGTTTGCAGGTATGATATAGTTCTATTATTTCTTTGCTGACTTTTTGTCTAGCTGATCTATCTCTTTGTGACAATGGTCTGTTAAGGTCCTCTGTTATAATTGTGTTGTTGTGTATTTTGTTTTTCATGTTCGTTATTATCTGTCTTAAATAGTTGGGTGCTCCTCTATTTGGTGCATATATATTTATAATTGTTAGTTCTTCTTCTTGAATTTTTCCACTAACATGTATGTAATGACCTTCTTTATCTCTTCTAAAGATTTTAGGTTTGAAGTTCAGGTTGTCTGCAAATAGAATAGTTACCCCTGCTTTTTTTCTGGGTTCCTGTTGCATGGAATATTGTTTTCCATCCTTTGACCTTTAATTTATGAGTTTCTTTTTGGGTCAGATGTGTCTCTTATATACAGCATATTGTGAGATCATGTTTCTTGATGCATTCTGTCACCCTGTGTTCTTTTGATAGGTGAATTGAACCCATTTACATTTATGGATATCACTGATATGTATTGGCTCTACTTTGCCATGCTATGTTCCAGTTGTTTGCTTTCTGCTTTTCCCCCTTATTTAATTGCTTGTCCTAACTGGTGGTTTCTTTCTGTTGTTGTTCTGGGATTGTGGTCATTTTTATCTCTGTCTAGTATGTTTTTCAATAATCTTTCTAGGATTGGTGTGGTGGACATGAATTTCTTCAGTTGTTCTTTGTCATGGAAGTATCTTGTTTCTTCACTCAATTTGATTGAAAGTTTTTCTGGATACATCAGTCTGGGTTGAAAGTTGTTTTCTGTCAGGGCTTGAAATACCTCACTCCAAGCTCATCTTCACTTGAGTGTTTGTGCTGAAAAGTTTGCAGTGATTCTAATATGTTTTCCTTGATAGGTGAGTTGTGTCTTTTCTCTAACAGCTTTTAATATTCTGTTTTTATGCTGTTTGTCTGAGATCTTAATTGTTGTATGTCTGGATGTAGATTTATGTTGGTTGTGACAATTTGTTTTCCTATATGCCTCACTTATCTGCCTATCAGATTTTTTCCTGATGTTTGAGAAATTTTCTGCTATTACTTCTCTGAATATTTTGGTTATGACATTTGCATTGACTCCTGTGTCTTCACTGATGCCTGTTAATCTTATGTTGTTGGTCTAGGCATCATCTTGAAGCTGCTGGATTATCATTTCATGCTGCTTTCTTATTTTTAAAAGTTCCATTCTTTCATTATCACTAATTGTGATCCTGTCCTCAAGGTCTGAAATCCTTTCCTCAGCTTCATTTAAATGATTTTTCCAGTTTCGAATAGAATTTATTGTTTCTTGGATGTCTCTTTGTGTTTGTTTCATGACTTTTGCTTGTTTTCTATATTGTTCATTCAAGGTTTCAATCTGTTTCTTATGCTCCTGTACTTTTTTCTCTATTTCTTCTTTAGCTGTGCTCAGCAACTCCTTTACTAAGGTCGTTATTTCTATCTTTACATCGGAGAGCACTTCTAATTTGATTTACTCTTATCCTCACGGAGTTGTTTTTTCATTTCACTCACTATCTTTTCAGAGATTTCCACTGTCTTACCTTTGAAGCCCTCTTTTCTGTGTCTCCTGTCCTTACTCTGGGTGGACTAGATGTTTCAGATTGCATTTTGCTTTTTTATTTTGCCTATTTCCCCTCTCAAGTGAATATTAAGTCCTTCAATGCCAGTATTGTAAACTTTTGGTAGTGTGTGTCTTTAGGTCCTACCATAAGTTCATGTTTGTCCAATTGCTGGTTCCCTCAATGAATAGGTGGGCCAGTCACCTGACTTCCCACACTAGGGCCTGTTTAGTGAATCCTATATTCTTCATTTGATGAGAAGCTTAGTAGTACTGATGCAGGTCAACTTTTAGTTTCTGCTATTACTTTATCTTCATGTTATTCCAGGTCACCACATCTCCTTGTCTATAGTGTTTATGTCAGTTGCGGCTCTACTGTGTCCCTATTGTGTGCCTTTGTGTCTCAAAGCCATTTTGATTTTCTGCAATTTAGGGAGTCCTTATTGGCACACTCCACATCCTACCTGATGGTTTCTCAGTGAGGGAAGAAGTCACCCATACTCATGTCAGACTCACCAAGGTCTTACAGTTAGTTAGAGAGAACTTTACTATTCACCCTATTTACCCACTGTACACTTATCTTTTAGGGGCATACTCACCACACTGACTGGAGTCTGCTGAGATCTTCTGTTTGGGTGACTCAATCGTCCTTCAAGCTAGCACAGTTAATCCTCTGTAGTCCAAAATTCTGGGAGAGAGGGTGGGAGCTGAAGGTGAACCACAGTCTTAGGTCTAGGAGTTAGGGAGTGTTACTGAGGGACCAACAGATGTCCTGGAATTTGCTGGGTGCCGGCCAAGGTCCCAGGGCAGTGTGGCATTCCTTATTGCCAGCTGACGTCATGCAGGGAGTGCTTTGCTGCTGCGGCAAATATCTGAGGGCAGCAGATGTTCCCCAGAGCCAGTGGAAGGCAGGAAGCACATGGCTACATGGGCCAAGGTCCCAAGGCAGCCCAATTTAAGTTCTTAAACAGCTATGTTTCTTAATTTCTGAATCTGTCATATATTATTTGTTCCTTTCCTCACAGTTAATAAACAAGCTAAATATTCCTTATTAAAATGTAAAAATTTCAATGTTTCCTATTTGCCTCTCTTTCTATTGCCACATTATTTTTTTTATAGTATGACCCTCCTCATAATTATCTCATCCCTCAGATACCAGAATTGAAAGTGGAAAGCTCTACTCCCTCATGAATCTATAAAGCTTTATGGGATTTGTGTCCTTCAAGGGTAATGAGGCAGGGGGTTTGGGGGTGGTAGGCTGACTGAGGAAGAGGATATGACCTGTTAAACATAAATTTCCAGGACTTGCAAGCAGAACAGTCACAAAGCCTCACATTTGGAACCAATAAGATAGTGCTATCTTCAATTCTTCTCTCAAGAACTCTAGTAAGGTTTTGATAGTATAGCCTAGACCTGGCATCAGCTTGAAGAATGGGAGATACAAAAGGGCATTTCTCACTGAGCTCCATGCTACTGTGGTCTTTCACTGAAGCTTAACCCCAGAATGCAGTTTCCTTCTTTTTGTACTCTTACTTGGCCTGTTATAGGGAGTATGTTTCTTTTCCTATCTTTAGCAAATGTAAAACCTTGCTACCTTTTTTTCTTGTCTTGCCCAGTTTCCTTCAGGAAAAAAAGAATTTAAAAACTTTCTTTACAAAGAAACTCTGCAACTGCAAAACCTGATAAAAGTAGTATGAACTTCACAGCACGTAGCATCACCCCTGTGAATCTACAAAGTAATGTCATAACAGCTGCATGGTTACCAAGTTTAATCTTGTGGCTCTAGTACACGCTTCCTCTTGACTCAGTTTACCTCTTCATCTTGTGTCCTCAGTTCAACTCTTGGGTTGAATTATTCTATTTGTCATCTGTTTCTCCCTGCCTTACTCTAAAGACAGCCCAGTTTCCTTCTCATTTCTTCTTCCTTGAAGGAGTTCTCAGTCCCTTTTTGTTTCTTTACTTCTTAAATATTGTATTTTCCTAGAGTGTTACTTTTGGATTCATTTTATGTCCTGAAAATTGTAGTGTATCAGACTATAGTTTGTGAGTGATCTACGATGTGAGAATCTTGATAGGGGTTGTGGAGAAAGCACTTAATAAATCATGTAGATTCTGGAGACTTGGAACAAGCCTACATATTGGTTTGTATGTTTTGTATTTTTTTTTTGGAGATATGGTCTCTTTATGTATTTCAGGCTGGCCTTCTACTCACCGTGTAGTACAACATTGCTTCATATTCATTGAAATCTTTCTAGCTCAACCTCCCAAGTACTGGGATTATAGTTTGTGGTACCATGGCACCATGCCAAGCTCTGGGTCCTCACTCAAAAGACACTGGCTACAATCTTGTCAAGTCCAATTATTTTTAAAAGATTAGCTTCTGGTCCACTTCCTAGAATGCTTTTCAGAATCCAATTCTTCATGTGATTTCCTGCACTGTCTACTCTGAATGTGCTAAAGTATGTAGCTACTAGCCCTATGTGGCTCTTGATACTTGCATTTAAATTAATTAAGTACAACTTGAAACGTCCTTCCTCAATTATTCCCATTAAACACACTTCAAGTAGTCAATAGCTACATGTGAGTCGTGGCTAACACACCAGAGCATAGAAACTCAGAATATTTCCATCATTGCAGAAAATTCCATGGGACAATGATGATGTTTGAAATGGTCAATTATTTTCTTCTTTTGTGTGTGTGCTTTCTTTATTATGAATGCAAACTTCAGTTTACTTAGTATGTATAACAGTTTATTCATATATATAAACATATCTATATATCTATATCTATAGTTTATTCTATGTTACATACAAGGTTAAGTATTAAAAAAACAAGGACAGCAAAGAGCTTTCCAAGCATGTCAGGGTATTAAGTACAGAGAAATTAGAACAAGATGATATTTTAATGCACGAAACCTTGCTGAACAAATGAGTTAATGAGTACGCATAATCATCAACTATGTCTATTTTTAGTACCAAATCATTTAATTAATGCATAG